CCCCCCCTCCCCAACCACCACAAAAGCTTGTGATATTTTTCTGAAAGAAAAAACCCCCAAAATCTAACCAAACAAAAAACAGAAAAAAAAAGAAAAAAAACCCCAAGCCTCAAGAGAACGTATAATTTCCGACCTTCGCTAGTGGTTTCCCATAGACAAGCGCATGTTATTAGGGATTCGACGCCACTTTAAACATCGTGTGGAGATATCTAAGAGGCGTGACTTTTAATTTAATGACAATTTCCGGTATGAACCATACAGCAAAAAAATCTACAAGGCATATTGCCAAGAGCATGGAAACAAGAAAAACAGAACAAGAATTTCTTTGGAATAAACGTACGTGTTTGTACGCTTTCGTCGACATGATTCAGATGATTTAGTTTTAGTTTTAGTAAGGTTTTACGGCGCTCGCAACTGCATAAGGTCATCTCGTATGAGCGCCACGGGGTGGGTGTCAACAGAGAAGTCCAAATGGGGAATCAAGCTTACTCTGCTCACTTCTCTCGTCTCAACAACAGCACAGAGTCTGCTTCGACTATCAAGGCACCCCGGAAATAGCAGTTGACAAGAGAGTGACAAAAATACAAAAGAAGCAGAGGCACAGTATGAGCATGGCATTGAAAAATCAGCCCATTTACAATCCTACAGCGCATAAGAACATATCGATATCCATCCTCTGGGGATGGCCTAAAGATGACTTCAGTCAGTAGCAACGCCCTTGTTTGGGGGGTGGGGGGATTGGATTATTTAGATTTAGGAGGCGGCTTCCCACAGTGCCTGTCACAATAAAAAATTATCCATACCGAGGAGTCGAACTGGGGTCTCCTGCTTTCGACAGCGAAGTGCCTGACCGCAGAATCACAGACAGACGCCGGTAATGTACGAGGAACTGAGCAAAAAGGCCAAAGAGAGACATACAAACATCACATAGGGACCACAGAAATTTATTAAGCCCCGAAAAAGACGTTTGAAGCAGGGTCGCCGGCATGTCAGATCAACATGGAACCAATTCAGAGAAAGTGGTGAGCAATAGTCAAGAACAAAAACAATACCATCGCATCATCAACAACAACAAAGGGAACCTTCTATCGCCACCATCAAAAGAAAAACAAAAAAACAAAAACAAAAAATAAATGCACAAATGCATAAATGGATAAACGAAAAAAAATAATATAAATAAATAGATAGGCAAATAAATTGATCTATATGTGCAACCAAATAAAGACTCTCAAATACGTATTACTATTCGGATTCCAACATGTACAAATGTACTACTACTGCTCGGGTAACGTATGCATAATTTATTGAACATGTGTTACTTTTTGAAAACATGTATTACTTTTCTAACATGCATCACATTTTGAAAATATGTATATAATTTTGTAGCATGCATTACTTTTCTAACATGTCTTACTTTTGAAAACATGTATTACTTTTCTAACGAGTATTGTTTTTTCAAAAACAAGTTTCAATTTGCGAATATTATATATTACGATGTCTTCTCAACAGTGAGTAACTTGTCGTGTGCCTATTAACGTATTATGCTCACTAACGGTGCGTGAAGACCATCATTTCGCTCACATTTCTCATCTCGCCCATTTAGCTCTCAGCTCGTCTCGCCCATTTAGTTTAGCTCACAGCCAAGAGTGGCCTTTAGCTCCCAGACTGAATTGATGAAGGCTCGCAGATGGGTGATTAAAGGACGGGTAATGTGGTGGCAAGTTAATGAAAGAATAGAGTAGGGGTGGGTGGGGCTCATGTCATGGGGAGAGATGGGAACTAGTAGAAGGAGGTGTGTGTGTGGATGGGTGGGTGCGTGTGTGGGTGTGTGTGGGGGTGTGAATGTTTTGGAATTATTTGTGTGTGTATGGGAATGTGTATGTGAAGGTAAGTGGGTGTGAATGTGTATTAGTTTGTGTGTCTGTGAATGTAGGCCTAAGTATGAATATTTTGTTGTTGTGTTTTTGTGTATGTGTGTGTGTGTCTGATAGAGACATAACATGTACGTGTTTGTGTGTGTTTAAATATGTATATATGTGAATGTGTTTGAGTTTGTGTGTATGTTTGTATATCTGTATGTTTGTGTACAATTGTGTTGATGGGCACTTCTGTGTGTGTGTGTGTGTGTGTGTGTGTGTGTGTGTGTGTGTGTGTGTGTGTTTATGTGTACATGTGAATGCATGAAGATAGGTATGCATTTGCGCATAATATTCACCCCAAAAAGGCACATTTTTAGTTTGCAGAATCAATTATTCAATGTAAATCTGTAGCTGTGAGAGGGAGAGAATGAAGACTTGAAGCACAAAAGAGTTTACCCTTGCAGTTCATCTTTGCTCTCTGTGATTTATTTTTGTTGTTTCTATTTCACTATAAGTGTTATTGGTTGGCGGGTGCTCTGGTGTGTTTCTTTCCTATCAAACATCTATCGTCCTTAAATCTCTCCTTCTTTTTTGTGTTTGTTACTCTCTTGTAACACCTCTAATTTTTGGCACTTTTATGACCTTATTGTGCTATAAAACACTTATAAAACTTACAAAACTCACTATGAGCAAGGATGTCAAAATCTTAACTTGTGATTTTTAAAAAAAATTGTTTTTGTTTACCTTTTAGCACTTTACTTGTGTGTAGACCTAGATATCTATGTGATCTCCCTAATTGGTTCATCACCATTTTCTTTAATGGTGTTTAAAGAATGTTTTAGAAGACACAGTTTGTGCAGTTGCATATTCTTACTAAGGAGAAATGTATTATGGCTGTGTTTGAATCTCTCCTGAGTGAAAATCTTTTTAAAAAAATGTACAATCCCCACCAGGGCAGTGCTACTGACTGAAGTGTCTTTAGGCCATTGCCAAATGGGGGACATTAACATGTTCATTTGCTCAGTAGAATTTTAAATGGGTCAGTTCACCAATGTCATGCTCATTACTGTGCCTGAACTGCATAAGAGGAACTGCTGCTTTTTCTTTCCTAATCCTTACTATCGTCATTTTCCTCTACTTTGTTTGTATGTTTGTCACTCTCTTGTCACCCGCTATTTCTGGGCTGCCTTGATAATCGAAGCAGACTTTGTGATGTTGAAGCTAGAGAGGTGAGCAGAGTAAGCCTGATTCCCTGTATGGACTTCTCTGTTGACATCCACCCCTCGGCGCTCATATGACCTTGTCCAGTTGCGAGCACCGTAAAAACTACTAAAAAAAACAAAAAAACTCGTATGTACAAGCATGTATGGAAATGCCTCAGTGCTAAAAAAGTAAAGAAAAGTTTTTAAAGACTTACAACTTCACCCCTTCTTATTCTTGTCTCTCTGATCCACAGATTTGTCCGAGGAAAGACCAAGTGAAGTCACATCATTTCAACAAATTTACGACTAGTCATCCATTTTACTGCGAACCACTGTGTGTTTTCATTTTGCCCCTCATGCTCCTTTTCAGTGAAAAATGTCTCATAAATTCACAACATGGACTTTCGTGTGTGTTTCTTCATACTGATATTAGCATTTCAGGTCATGTGTTCATTCCTGTAAATTTTGGGGACAGCTAAAGGGAGAAAGTTTGTCATCAGGTCATCTGCTTAGCAGAAAGGGAGTGTCGTTTTGGAGTCATGTTTTATATATACCATTATACTTATACAAGTTTCTTAGAAGAGCTTTTACCTATAATTTACTCTTTTACATGGGCAGACTAAAGGTCTTGACTCCTTCCAGCCTTTATGCACAATTTGTTCATTGGATAGTACTTTGTTCAGTTCTGCTGCAAGTTCTGAGGTTGGCTCGAGATGTGGGTGATATAGGATTGCGAGTGTGAAGACCCACTTTTTATCACCCTCTATCTTTCTTTCTATTCATATTAGAAGTCCTGCTAGGTTTTAGTTTGGTTTGATAGAGGTTTTGCGGTACTGTCAGTTACCTAGGTCCATTTAGCCCATGGGTTAGCGGACTAGGAGTTCTTAAGGTGTGGAATCCATTTTATGTGTCACAACGCGATGGAATCAGGTGCTCGTCAAATTTTTGAACCTACAGAGTTATTGGTATCATCTTACAGTTTGTTCATTTGTCTTGCTTAAAATTGTTGAAAAGAATAGTAATCTATCTTGAATAGAAACTGAGTTGTTTACATTTCAAGGAGGTACAGTAACCTGGTAGCACAAGTAAAATTGCGAAAAAATAGCCGCCAAAGTTTGGTGCCTTGGAATTTGAAAATTTACATTTGTTGTACCTCTAATCAACGTTTTTCAGTAAAATCCGCCCATAAATGTGTTGTGACATGGAGGTAAAAGGTGTTGGGCTAAAAAACAAAAATAAAAAATTCAATAAAAATTATCTATCGGGAAAATGCCGTTTTCTTCGATTTCATTAAAATTTTGCTGAGCTCCTGATTTCATCACAATGCCTCACGTATCAATTCAGAACTACTTCCAGGGGAAGTAGAAGGCATTATGTTCCATCTGAACGGATGATGATGTTTGTGATGTATTGTTTTACCATAAGTTTATGCTCTGTGATGATGGCGAATCTGGCTGATGAGACAAGTGTGTACCAGAAATTGTCGGTGGCCATGAATGCGAGAAAAGGATGAATGTTCTGCTCTCTGTTGCTTAAACGTGTGTGTCTCTTTAGACGTTGCATCTGCTCAACAGCAAGCTCTATGCACTTTGCAATCTGATCTATACTATTGCCCCAGCTAACCTGATAGCATTCTGAACCAATCTTACCTTCTGGGGAAGCGAACAGTGCAAGCTGCCATAATTTATGGGTGCTAAAATCATTAACATTCCTTTTCTTTTTGTCAACGTTTTGAGAAGAGGATCAAAGAAAAAGAAAACCGGTAGCCTTTGTGGCTTGTGAAACCAACCATTTGCTTTTTCCCTTAGAAAAGTGAGTCTTGACCATTGACGTCATGTTTTCTCTGTTTACCATTGACCCTACTGCTGCCGTTTAGTTTATGATGCCTGTGTACCTTTGGCAAAGACTTTTATTTTTGCCTTCAAGAAAGTAAAAAAGAATATAAGGTCTCTTGTTTTATATTTGTATTTGTTTCCATTTTGCTTATCACATCAATTTGTGTTTTGTTTGGCTGAAATAAAGCACAAATTACTTCCATAGACCTGTTCTCGGAGAGTTTTATTTTACGTTATTGTATTATTATATCTGCCAGTACTGTTCCAGCTAAATTGTATTGACTAAAAAAAAAGACCAAAAAACGTTTTTATTTGACTGAGCTGGCCACTTTATTGCTCACCTGAATCACCTGCATGAACGTGGAAGTTGACAGGAACATACAAATAACTACAAGAGTGATTTAATGTAGAACCATCAACATAAAGTATGAGAGAAAGGGGGTGGGAGATAGAGGGGTGAAGAGAGAGAGAGAGAGAAAGAGAGAGAGAGAGAGAGAGAGAGAGAGAGAGAGAGAGAGAGAGAGAGAAAGAGGGAGGGGGGAGGAGACGGACAGACGGACATTATTTTAGTTTAAATGTAGATGTTCTTTACTTACTTTACTTACCTTACTTCATTCTTCCGCTTGTACTGGTGGGTGTCGCGGGGAGATACAGGCGTCTGTCTGAAGGAAGGCGAGTGGCCTGTAGGAGGGACATCCTGTGAACTCTGAGGGTGTCTGCTACTGATTCACTCCAGCGTCGCCTTGGTATTCCTCTGGCTCTCCAGCCATAAAATTTGATGTTATATGCACTCAGAGCTGGTTGGTTTGGGGGCATCCGTCTGAGGTGTCCGAACCACTTGATCTTTTGTTTTTCAATGTGTGATAGGACTGGTGTTGCTCCTACCTTGTCCCTTTATGATTTCATTTTTTATTTTGTCTCTTCTTGTCTTGTTACATGTAGTCGCTCTTCTTAGACATTTCATCTCGCATGTGACCAGCTTCCTCTCAAGGGCTTTTGTTAGGGAGTACCATGTCTGGCACTGATATCATGTAAGAGTTGGCAAGGAAAATGGCGTTGATGAGTTTCGCCTTGGTGCTCATGGGGATGTTGGGATCGGATGTTTCAGGAGAGGGGCGAGTTGACAGCTGACTTCATTGGCTTTCTGGCATCTACTCTCAATTTCTCGATCTAATTTTCCATTTTCTGTGAAAATGCTGCCCAAGTATTTGAATTCGCTTGTTTGTTTTACTTGTAGTTGGGATCCCTTGATGTCGATATCCACTTTGTCTGGTCTCCTGCTAACTGTCATGGCCTCTGTCTTGCTAACACTGATCTTCATGTCATATTTCTCGCAGCTCGTGTTTAGTTGGTTCATATGCTCCTGTAGTTGAGTCTTATTGTTCATCATTGCCAGGTCGTCTGCAAACATGAGTTCGTTGAGTACTTCTGTGTCTGGATTGGCGTCCTTAGTAATCTGCTCCATGTAGATCACGAAGAGCAGAGGGGAGAGATTGCAGCCCTGCCTGACTCCGGATGTTACTACAAACCAGTCTGATGTTCCACTGGTAGTGCAGAATGCGTTTCTGCTGTTGGCATAAATAGCCCTGATGTTGTCTAGCAGTTGTCCCTCAATGTCGTATTGCTCAATGATCTTCCATAGCTTGTTTCTATTTACTCAATCAAAGGCTTTTTCTTGATCCACAAATACAAGATCTTTGGTCGTATTCCAATGCCCTCTCCACACAGTTGTCGGAGTGCAAAGATTGCACCAGTGCACCCTCTTTTTTTTTCTAAAACCAAACTTGGCATCACTGAGAAGATGTTTGGCTTTTGCGCAAGTGCTTTGCCCTAGGATCTTTGCATACATTTTCCCCGCTCTGGAAGACGATTGTAAATAGCCAATGTATTCCGGTTTCAACTCCTGCAAGGATGGCTTCTGTGGTGATCTTTACGTTCCCTACTAACACAATTTCGATCACTTGTTTGTTGTTGTTTTTTGGCCGGTGCTACTCGACCGATGTCGGGTGACTAGCGCCAGGATAGTCGCCCGATGTCGGGTAGCTAGCGTCAGGCTACTCGCCCGATGTCGGGTGGCTAGCGTCAGGCTACTCGCCCGATCTAGGGTGGCTGGCGTTAAATGGGGGGCCCACTACGGCTGGGATCGGCCGATCGGGCCGATCGCCCGACTCGATCGCCTAAAAATCTATATATCTCTGCGCTTTGTTCTTATTACAATATCCTTCTATTCTCCAAGATGTCTCAACTCTCTTTTTCTCCTTAGCACGATACTCACACCGATCTTTTCCCTGTCTTCCCGCCCCCAGTGAACACACACTCTAAAGCGATAAATTTTGTCCTCGGGTAGAGGGAGAAAGAGAGAGAGGAGGAAGGGGGGGGGGAAGAGAGAGAGAGAGAGAGAGAGAGAGAGAGAGAGAGAGAGAGAGAGAGAGAGAGAGAGAGAGAGAGAGAGAGAGAGAGAGAGAGAGAGAGAGAGAGAGAGAGAGAGAGAGAGCATACTTCTCTGAATGTTGTGTTGAGTTTATAGTCCTTCAGAGTTGAATAAAAGCCCTGGATTATACGACCTCGAGCAGACTTAATTAAATATTTCATTGCAATGCAATACTTATAATTCTGTTTGTAACTTTATTTTTTATGCAAAACAGTAATATTTCTGTAAACAATCCTAAAAGAACAGTAGACCTTTGGTTGTCCTGAAATTTGGATGAGTGGAAGATTGATAGTGCGTTGAATTTATTTTGCTTTTAGAAATTGTCAACAATTTGATTAACTATTTATATATGTCACAGGCCTGCTTTGCAACAATTTCGTTGGTGTTGTAATGTCTGCGAATCATGGACGCGTGTTTTCTGTGGTCTGTTTTGTTGATAGAACACTACCGGTACGAATGTTTCTAATTTCATAGACGGCTACTTTAAACGTGTCTAGAGCTTGTTAGGTTGCTATGGGCATTGTACTTCTGTGTTAGGGGATCCCATAAACAGCCTCAACGTGCATGTACACTTTGTTGAAAAAGTGCAAAAAGAAGAGAAATGTTTTGCTCTTATACATTCAGGATACCACCGTGGACGGAATTATCGTCCCTCTGCTCAGACTGAATTTCTGCAAGACAAAGCTGGATCTCTCCTTTCCTAATGAAGACTGCTAATTAGTCGAGACTGTAAATTCCACTTTGTTTCAGACAGCCATGGAATATTCCGCAAACACGTTTGAGAACGCCAATGCATTTTATAGAGCGGGCAAAAATGTCGAAGAGCCTGCATAGCATTAGCGAAAAATACCTCTGTTCCCCGACAAATCACCCTTTTCATGACCGCGAAGGGCGAGTTTGCGAGTTTAACAGAACAAAATACACTCGAAAACCTTACACAATATGTGCCTGTTCTTTCTCACTTGTTCGTTATTGTGAGACGTTGCAATGCGATGACCAACGACTAGCTGCGCTGCTATGTCTACTTGTCCTGAAAGTATGATACTTAACGGCATTGTTTACGTGTGCTCTTGATGCCACGTGACTTTAATGCGTTGTTTCACTTGAACAAGATCAGTAAAACCTGTCTTAGACTATTACTTGGGGTCCTCAGTTCCAAAAAGCAGACAGGAGAAACAGCAGGCCTACAATGAGTATTTGCTAACGCTGACTGTAAGCCACTCCACTTTTTGTTGGCTGTATTATTTTGATATCTTTGGGTTGGTGAGGACCTAATTCTTTCACTCTCTTCTTGTTACTTTGTTTGGTGAACAGATTTTATTTGCAATCAACTTCATTCATCCTGCATTGGAATACACACTCGAGTAATACAACTTTCACCACTACATCATTCCAACTTCTAACACTGACCTTGTTACGTCATGTAGACCTCGCTTAAGTTCAGGGTTACAGAGATGGCGCTAGAGATATAAATGGCAAGACACTCGACCAATCTCACATTACTGTGAGTGTGAGCACTCCGGTGGATTGCTCCAAAGCTATCATAATACGAGCATTGAATTGTGTAGGCTATCGTGAACTGGTCTGAGATCGAGTTATTTTTAGACTGCCTCTATGGGCTTTGTTCGACTGGGGCACAATTGGTGCACAATGAGATTGTGCCGTCTTATTAATATTTATGAACTGAGAAACTTGGTCAAAACGTCATCGTTGTTTGGGTTGGCCCATAAAGCATTTTCCGAGATAGATTACACCACTGAACATGCTATTTTTTACTGGATGAAGCACAAGAACTTGATATGGTATAGTAGACGTTGTAGAGTTGTAGATGTTGTAATGGACGAATAAGCTCTAGCGAGGAACTTGTACTTGTACTTGTACGGAAAACTGATTGGATAGTGGAAGGTAAAGGCTCTTTTATTGTCTCTTTGTGGGTGTTGTGCGCATTAAATTTTTGGGCGGCAGTGCACAACCGTGCTGTATGGAGGAACCGCCCATGACTACCAGTTACCAGTGATCCTCGCTCACAATCTTAAAGTTTTTAAAAAATTCCTTCCTTTAATTCCTAATTCCTTTCCCATGTTTACTTTAATTCGTTAATCTCTCTCTCTCTCTCTCTCTC